TGTCCACTTCTCTAAAGAGAATAGAACTGAACAAAGAGGACAATCACATAGAGCAATAGGCTGATAAGGCAATTTATATACTATACCTCAACGGGAAAAATAAGGGGGGGGGGGTATTGATTAATTAGTCATCCATCTGTTAAGTACACATTTTTAAAAAATTTAATCACGAAAAAATATGTACTCTGTCAACGGTTGATTTCCAGTTGTCACAAAACTTAAATGGTAACTGGTCGAAACAAATCAAAACATGAACAAACCACGTGTTCTGGAACATTCGGTTTTTCGTTTTGCTTTTAATTACTTACATTTTCAAAGTACCCTTGGGTCCTAGATTGGATTTAAGAACATCTTGGAGACCTTTGGCTGCGCTTATATTAACGGCTAAAGCTTGTGCAGCCCTAGCAACTTCTGCTTTGGGGTTGAGCGTTTTGATTGCCGACATGTTTGTTTTCACGTTCCTGGCGAGTAACTTCCCTTGTATCCGAAAGGAGGCGCTGAGAATGAAATGGGGAGAAGTTATTAAACATAAAAATATTTAAAGTGTCTTATACAATACCTACGTACATGCAGGGACCTACACTAACAGTATATACTATATTTGTATATATTAGTAAAAGGAATAGGTTTAGGTTATGCTAATTAAAAAAAAACAAATGACCTTTTATAAACATTTTTTTCGGATATTTAATAATTTAATTCTTTTTAAAATAAATATAATTTTTTTTTCTTACTAAAGAGATATGTTAACACATCAACTGCCTGAAACCCTCAGTCTGTGCAAGCAATCGGAACTGTGTGTGGGGGGTGGGGGGGGGGGGTGGGCTGCTAGATTAGAAGAAGCGACTTCAACAGTTCAAGAATGTACTAGAACTCAATGAAAATATAGAACTTTGCCAACTCACCCGATTTTGTAGGGTTACACCCGATTTTGTCATAATGGTAACCAGTAATGAATTATTTAAAATTTTCTCGATGAAAGTAGGGTGCCCCTCCCAGAAACCTGCCAACCGTCCTGTCTGGCATGATTAAATATTATTTTAATTTTTCAGTTTTTGATAGATTTAGGCATTAATCTTATTTATGGGAGGTTCTGGTCATAATAAATTTAATTTTTTAATTTTATTTATTGACGAAAACCACATGTGGCGCAAGTCATACATACAGTATACAAATACAGTCACATAGATTTTTTTTTTTATGTTAAATACATCACGTATGAAGTTAAAAAATATTTCTTGTTGATTTAACAAAGATCTGCTGGATTAAAAATTTCATAAGATATGAAAGTATTGTTAAAAAGTGTACAATTTTCACTTCGTAGTATTTTATAAAGAGGACATACAAATAAAAATGACGTTCATCTTCAACAACAGTATGACATCTTTCACCTCTTGGTACAATTGGATTACAATATCTGCCAATCTCTGTGTAAATTGTGGACACTTATTCTTAACTGAGAAAAAAAAAAAAAAAAAAAAAAAAAAAAAAAAAACGAAGCTTCTTGGAAATGAAAAAAGTTAAATATGGTTGAATTTCAAGCTTGTTTAGATTTTGTGGACTTATTAACTGACTGTAGAATGACAATTTTCCATTACCTTTTTCTTCGAAATTCTAATGTCCCTGAAAACTATATTCTCATAATACTTTTTCCAATTCTTTTCAAAATTATTTATAGATAATGGATTGCAATTTGAACGAATAACTTCATCAAGTATTCTTCGTATACAGTTTTGCCAACATGTTTTTTTTTTCCCTTTCCTGGAAATTTTTCATTCTCTATATAAATATGTATGTTTCAAAAGCAAGTTTGAATTCTCCTGATCTGAAACAATTTTCTGAAATCTGTAATAGTAAATACATGTTTGTAAAATAATGGGAAGTGCACCAAACTCTACTCCAACTGCTAAATTAGAAGCTTTATTATGAACCCAAAATGTCTTTAAGATGAAATTTTGATTTTTTTCAAATGGAGTTTTACCATTTTTTTTTAAATTAGGAATCCGACCGAGATATCTCTGATTATCTGTACTTACATAATTCGTTAATAAGTGTTAAATATATCGTAGCTTGGTCTATGATAAATAACACCCATACTTTTTTCCCAGTTTATTGTTGTTGGATAAGGATCAGGCATGTGTAACAGGAAAGGATAAAATGTATGGCTGGACCGGGAATCGAACCCGGGACTGTATCACTAGTCAGGTGCTCTACCGACTGAGCTTCCCATGGCCAGGCCGATATCCACGGCCCAAACCATTGCATTCCTCCCTCCTTAAAATGACTTCGCCCTCGAAGACACGACCTAAGTTCTTTTTAAGTTGGAAATTCCGACTTTAATCTTGGTTTTTCCAACTTTAGGCTTTTCCAACTTTGAAGTTGGCTTTTCCAACTCTAAAGTTGGACATTTTAACTTTAATCTCGGCTTTTCCAACTTTTAAGTTGGAAATGCCAACTTTAGTTCTTTCTTTTCCAACGTTAAAGTTGGCTTTTCCAAGTGCATTTAGGCAATTAACACCCATCAGCTACGCAATTCTTAATTTAGTGGACCCGACACAGTGCTGCGATTTTCCTTATTTCTTTTTATTAATATTGACTATTGACATCGTTTTGAATGAGTAATTAATTATCTACTGTATTGTTATGACAGCAGTGTTTTTTTAACATTCTTTCCATTGTAATTACATGTATTAAAACGACAACACGAGTCCAGCTACAAAGTATCTGAACATAACGCATAATTAAAGCCGTACAAAGATAGAAAAGCCAAGATCTAGTTGGAAAGGCCAAGATTAAAGTTGGCCATTGGTTTAAATTTGAAATTTTCGACTTAGAAGTTAGAAAAGCCCACATTAAAGTGGGAATTACCAACTTTAAAGTTGGAATGGCCAACTTTAAAGTTGGAAAAAGCCAACTTTAAAGTTGGAATGACCAACTTTCAAGTTGAAAAAAGCCAACTTTAAAGTTGGAATGACCAACTTAAAAAATATTACGCAGTCCCGTAGAACGGGGGGGGGGGGGATCCCCCACTTTTTTCTGAGTATATGGTGTTTTGCTATAGTAAATTTTTGTTTAGAGGTTGGATCCCTCCTTTTGATGTATGTCGAGCACTGGCAAATTCACGTATTTGGACGGTAAATTACCCCCTTTTTGCTTGTCAGATAATTTTGGAAATTTGCCCCCACCCCCACTTTTGGTAAGTTTTTTGTTTTCTTTTTGTCAGATTTTTTTTTTGGGGGGGGGGGAGTTGCTCCCCCTCCTCTTCTCTCTTTAAATACATATACGTGAAACAAGTGTGAATAGAAATTGCATATGATTGATATATTTATGTGATTTTCAAACAGAGACATATAAATAAAGTTGTCAGAGATTAGAAATTTGAAAGAAAAAATCCGATTTTTTTTAAATATTGAAGGGGAATGGGGGTGGGGTGGGTGGGGTAGGGGCAATTTTAAATATATCATCGTAGACTCTAGTAAAAACCCAAAGGATGACTGCACTTAAGGACATGCGAAATTTGCGACAAAATAAAATTTTAAAACAAGCATTTTTCGTTTCATTGCAAGAACGGTCAACATCCAATCTACAACTGTATGTAATTACGTTTAATAAAAGTGTGTATTTACGAAGTTCGAATCTGTTTTCAAAGGCAGGGGTCATCAAAATTTCTTGAATCTCCGTTCAATAATGAGGACACCCACTTTTTCACTGACTTTATAGTCAGCGCATGTTTGTCTATTGTTCTACGTTTAACAGTAGTTGTATATTTGCATAAATAATAATGTGTCAAAAGGAGATTAATAGACAAACATGCGCTTATGGTTAAAAAGAGAAAAAACTGCTTCTTCTTACATTCGCTCTCTGTGTTGTAACCAAGGATTGTGACATGTTGAATATTATAATTCACCACGTGATTTCTTACCTCAGGTAACTTTTTAGTGAATACTAAATTCCTTCAAGTGACTTGTAAGGTAGCATGTTTTGTGCTAACTAGGACATTGTGTTCGAACACGTTAAGTCATCTGGCATTGATATAAAATCTGCTTTAATTACATTGACGTGCTCATATTGTAAATTTCGTTTTGAACATTGAATTCAACTCACATTTACCTGTAAAATCTAATGATACACCTGAGTAACTTCATGACCTAGATTCAAAACTATTGTGATACTTATTAGACCAAATTGTATACCCTATTGAGCTATCCAGCAAGCTATTGAAAACTTTACTGGTATTTTGTAATTCGCTGTAAGTCTACTTACAATGTTAGCTCCACCTCTCATGCATATCTAATGTTCAATCAAGGGCAGGTAAGTGTAAATTCACTATATTTGGAAAGCAGTAAGGACAAAAAACATTGAATCATTTTATTGTACACATGTATCACGTACAGTCTAAAATCATTTTAAGATTTAAAATTTTGTTCAAAATTGACAGGATTCTTTTATAAACATACAGACGTGAAATAAGGTTTAGATATAAAAGCAGCAGAAGCAACCGAAAAAGACCCCAAAACAGGCGTTAAGTGCAGTCATCCTTTACGTTAAAAATGTTTTAGTGCACGATTACGAAAGCATAGAGTATTGAATACATCACTCAATTTTTTGTTATTTTCGTTATGTTTGCTTGTTCGTAAACAGTTTTAACACATTGCAAACACAAGTACTTGTTTCTGTGATAAATTTCTAAACCTGTGTCATAATGATTATACCAGGTTGAAAAATTACCAAAATATAAGTGCATGCCTGACTGTGCTAATAAAACATGGGACTACCAATTTTTTCAGCGAATGCCATACATGTATACATATAGTTGATATATTTGGAGCATGTCCCTTCGGTCTCTATCTAATTTTTCCGAGTCTGATTTAAAAAAAAATCATAAATTATAATGATTCAATACTTTCAATTATTACGTGATCAGTACAATAATTAATGACTACTCCCCCCGGTAGAATTTACACAACTATTGGTGACGTCATTCACAATCTGTATATTAGGGAGACCGTGTCGCAATAAATGTGATAAAAGGATGCATCTTCGACTTCATGGGTTTTAAAAGTTGACCGAAAGAGCTTTAAGACTAGGTATTTATTTTTAAAATTTCTTTCAATTCTAATTTGACTTGTATTTCAGATTAGTGTAGATAGATCAACGTTGTCCACAGGACAGCTGATGTAGGTTTTGGTCAGTGTTGTGTAACTGTGATATTGTGGTTGTCGGTCAGCGCATGTTCAGATGTCAGTGACCTCCAGCAATTTATTTGAAAAACATATTTGTATAATTGTGTTTTCCCTGAGTTAAGTATTTGAGATCACCTTTTAAAGAACTTGCACGTAGCACTGTACCAGTTAATGAACTTTGACCTCAGCACCTCAGCAAATGATTAAATATAGGGGATGGAAAAACTATTTGTTTAACGAGAAACACCAAAGGTAAGTTGAATTAATGTCTAAATATAAACCAAATACTCATATTCAGTTTAATATCTGAAATTGCAGTGCATTAATCATCTGAGTAGTGTGGTTTCCTTAATTCTTCATTAATTATTATGGACTTCCACCTGTGATCAATACTTCAATTTGCACTAGATAAAATGAATAATCTTAGTCTGAAAAATCAGCTTCATCAAACTGTCTGGAACTTATGATCATGGTGAACTGACAGTAAAACGATTAGGGTGACTGGGTCAAACTATTTTGCAATCAGTATAGTAAACTTTAAGGGTGAGAAAAAAAAATTCAGTGACCACTTATCTCAGGGGATGAGTATGAGATCATAACCAATTATCCTCATGATGATTTTGCTCATTTCATATAAAGGTCAGATATCGCTAAGTATTAAATTAAAAAAGATCATTGTTTAATATTTTAAAACATGATAATCATTGATTTAGAGTCCGAGCCTCTTATTAAAATTGAAGAATTCTTGAAATAAGTGTCACCAAATATAGAGATAAAAGTATAAATACCAAAAAACCTTTCTGGAATGACTTCTATCAGTATGTCTTCCTTTGGCAAATCAGCCATGTTTAAAATAAATTGTCGGTGAAAAAGAAAGAATTGCAAACGATAGTGTTGTTCTGCCGCCTACATCCAAATCAATTTTCAAAATTTATCATATTTGAACGATTTTTCATATTTTATTTAGATATATTTAATGTGTCAATTTTCAGAAAAAAACTTATTTGGGAAAAGAAAGAGAGAAAACTCTTGTTTTGGTAAAACTTGTGTTTTTCACTTTAGAAATCAAAGGCAAACAGAAATTATTTGGTAGAGCGCTGCTGGTGTCTAGAGTTGAAGGGGCCTGGGTTCAAATCCTAGTTGGGTCATTTGCATTTCCTTCTTTCCAGATAGATAGGTCAAAGATTGAGCTTTTATTAGTTAATGAATTCTCCTTTAGTAATTCACCATCTCTAATTCTGCCACTTCTCACAATTGGTGTATATATATCTCCTTATAGCTAATGAAAGCTCAATCCTTTCAAATTACTCCAATCAGCATGATCAAGTTTGAGAATTGGATTGTCATTAACATTTACCAAGAGAGAGAGAGAGAGAGAGAGAGAGAATGAGAGAATAGTATACCCTCTTTCTACCACATATTTCTAAAGAAAAAAGAAAGACCTTTTGACCTCAAAATCAGTAAGAACTAGCTTCTTCATGTCCTGGGAAGCTAAGATATTTACCGGTAGTATGTATCTTATAGAGAGCTTAAGTTATTACTTGAAAACCATTTTTCAAAATGTGTGAATTTGTAACCTTGACTTTTGACCTTTTGACCTCAAAATCAAAAGGGGTCTTCTTTAAGTCATCTGGAATCATGTGAGTAAGCTAATTACATGTATATGTAATTGCAAAAACTTGAGTACTTTTTTAGAGATTTCATCTGGAAAAGAAAGTATTGTGTCGACAGACAGGCCCAAATTAATTTCTCCTACCTTTATCAGGGGACAAAAAAATCTATTTTGTTCGAAAATGTAAACCACAATCATTTACTTGCTAAGCATCAACTAACTTTGAATTTCAATGTGTTTTTGGATTACTTGTTCTCATGAGTAGATAATACCTTATGATCAACTTAAAACTTGATATGAAGTTAAATGTTTAATTAGAATAAGTTATCTCCCTATTTGTATTGTACATTTTTTTAAAAATCATTTAAATAGAACAGAACACATTATACAATTATCATGATTATTGCTGGTTTTTGAGGCCAATACGATGATTTAGACACCTGAGGAGTACAATATTCATCGAGCCCAAAGGGCGAGGTGAATATTGTACTTCGAAGGTGGCTAAATCATCGTATTGACCAAAAAAAGCAGCAATAATTTTTTTTATTATATGATTCAATGATTAAATGACACACACTCATTAAGCAATCCATGCCGTCTTTGACTATCCCCCCCCCCTCCCCTTCCAAAAAAGGAAAAGAATTCTCCCAACTCAAAATTTTATTTAGTGGGATGTAAAGCTCCATAAACGAAGGTAGGGGGGCTTTCATTGAAATTTTTTATCCTTAAAATTTAAATTAAATCTTTACATTCTCAAAAGGTGGGGAAAGGGGCAGGCCTCCTGCAACCCCCACCCCCACCCCACCCCACCCCTCACCCAAGAATCTATGTGCCTTAATGTTATGTTCATAGGAGTGGAAGTCAGGTGCAAGTGAAATAACTTTCCAAAACTATTTGCATCAATTTGGAATTTCCCTATCTATTTTTGGTCCAATGTACAATAAATAATTCCTTATATTGACCTGGAAGGTCATGTGCAGGTCAATATATAATAGTATTTTTCTAACATTGTTGGATCTCAGCCAGTCAGAGAGATGGGAATTATTCAAACATATAATAAATTCTAAAATGACAGTCAAATATGAAATGTTATCTACATGTGTTAAAATGTCATTTTACACACACAAGGTAACATACCTAATGTATCGTATTGACACCTTAAAGATAAAACCTTATAATAATTTAATTGGGGTGAATAAAAGAAAAATATTGTTTATGTACCTTTGTTTTGCCTTACACAGAATTAACAGAAAAAACACATAATAGAGTACTTTAATTATATCATTTGAAAGAATTGCACCCTGGGAATTTATCAGATATACACAATAAAAAGAAATGGATGCATACACCATTTGATATCCAAACTACAGTACTGAAAATAAAAATGTAAATTATTTGGTGCAAATAACTCCTAATGTGTTTCATAATCCAACATACAGATTATAATACATTTTACTGTATGTGTCCACATCCATAAAAAAATCATTGCACCACAGCAAAATGAGGAATGACAGTTTTATTTCATTAAAATTAATTTTGTTTGTATTCTAGCCTCTGATTGGTTAATATCCAAAAAGGAACACAAATTATTTCTGTATAACTGGTTTGGTATAGGACCCCCCCCCCCCCAGCTGAATCCATATAATCCTCTCATTTCCAGTTCTTGGAATTCATGGAAAATTCCAGATTTAATAAATGTACCTTTAACTTCAAACAATAATTCGATCCTACCACATGTAAACAAACAACAAGGCTGCTAGGCCTGTGTATCAGTTTTTACCTCCCCTTGCTTCCCATCACTTCCATTACTTCCATTACTACAGTTGTATTATTGACCGGCAAATTTGAACTAATAAAAAGCAACGAAATTTTACACCCATAGTTATTTAATGATTTTGAAATTAAATTATAAGGAATGACTCTAATTCTTGGCCAAATTATTCGAGTATAACCTGGTTTGGGTCAGTTTACGCTGTCTTCGCGGATTATAAAACAGCGTAAACTGACCCAAACCAGGTTAAACTCGAATAATTTGGCCAAGAATTAGAGTAATTCCTAAATTAGCCTTAATTTTTATGACGTCGAGCTCTTGGAGCTCGAACGTCATCTAGCAAGCGCCCAGTTGAAATCGCGACCGGATATGTACGCGACCGAATGTGTCAGTCGATGCATCCGCAATAGAAAATAGCAATAGGTATAAACTAATTTCTTTGAAAACGCTCAAAATGAATAATAGCTTGAAAATAAAATTGCATCAATTATATCCGCAATTAATTCTATTGCAAAACAACAATATTATATTTTATTCTCACACAAGAAAAACGTGATGGTTGTTGCGGATGAATTTCTATAGAAAGAGTGCGTTGAATGACATGAATAACATTTCGGAACGATAACCGTAAAACAACACAACAGGAGGTAAAATAATCACAAAATTACATAAACACGAATATTTCAAGACTAAAAAGATTGAATTTCTAAATCTTAGCTTTACTTATACAATCTTCTAACCAACTCTATCCTAAAAACCGATGATATTGACCAGTATTGCTGTTTTTCTCCATTTCCTCCATTTCCCAGTATACCGTATACCACGCCCGATCGTAACTCGATCGTAATTTTAACAGACTAGAGGCTTGGTTGTAGTTTAGATGCAATCACTAATACAATGCTTTGACATTGGCAATTAGAAAAAAATATTATATTTAGCATGAACATGTTCGACGGTGTCTGGTCAATTCGAACCCTGCTCCATTCGGACCATGACATAAGGCCCCAGACTGTAATTGTGATATTTTGTTTAAACTATTTTTTTTATTATGTCTCCTGAGTCACTCACTTGACTTATTGCTACCTTAAAATTCAAAATGATCTTTTGAAATTGTTTTTCTTCTTCGACGTCATTGAAGCCTTTCAGGCTTTTGATTTTTATTTACATTCAGATAAAGCAATTATGGGGTATATTTTTTAGGTCAATGATTGTATGACCAACTGATAGTTGATACCTGAAAAGTAATATTGCCAGTATTGGAATAATTTTGGAAAAGAGAAAAAAATATTTAAAATATTTATTGTGGATCACAGATCCAAAAAAAAAAAAAAAAAAAAAATAAGCCCTATAGAGGCTATCACGTACACCTTGCCAAACCTAGGATTGCCTTCAGCATGTGATTTGAAAGTAACCATTGGGTAAAATTTATATTATGAACCATTTTCTATGTAGAAGCCCATCATGATGACATGCATGTATTCAATTACATATTTATAGTAAAATCCCTGTATTGTGTCAATTATAATTAGATCTAAAGATTCTTTAAAAAATTGATGCATTTGTTGAAACTGCACATTAAATATATAATTATTACATTATAAACATGGTAAACCCATTAAAAAGGAAATTTACTGTACAATTCAATTATTTTCCAGTAAATGTATAGCTATCCCTGTTACATCATAGACATGATAAACCCATTAAAAAAGAATTCTATTGTACAATTGAATTTTTTTCCGTGATCATAGAGAAAAAAAAAGTAATTTGTTGGGAAAATTTTCAAGTGTTTTATGAATACTGGTAATCAGTGACGTAACATTTAATAAAATTTCTTACACAGGGATTTATCAATTTTGTGAGGAAGTGGATATGCGTAACATGAACTGTTGATCATAACTGTCTTCCAGTGTACAGACTGGTTTAATATTATAGTAATGCAGTGTACTTAAGTTTTTTCCAACTATTATAAGAGAACTTGGTCTTAGATACACAGGATGTGAATTATAACTCTGTGGTAATGGAAAAGAGGGCTGTAACTCAGTGGCTTTGTTTATATTGAAGAAACAATGGGGAACACACCTTTGTTTGTAATCATGTAAAACGAAGGGGGCTATTTTTCTATTTTATTCTCATCCTTTTTCATATACAGACTGTACTGGTATTATACAATATATACCGGTATATAAATTGGTCACATTTGATTTGAAATTGCATGCTCCTGATATTTTATAATGGCTTATAAACTGTAATCATTTTAATTTTTTTTCCAGCAATAATTGGAGATTTCAGAGTACTATAAATATACATATACAAGGAAACCAAGAAATTCAAGTGATTATATAGTGAATTGACACGTTATTAACCCAGCCATGAGTTCTGACGGTGGTGCCTCGGAGGTCCCAGTGGAAGAGGAGGGACTTTTCTCAGTCCTGGACTTCTTTATTCTATCTGTACTGGCTGGCATGGCTGCATACTGGTTTTTCTTCAAGAACAAGAAACAAGAACAGCCAACCTTTAAAAAGCTGACCGTACAGTAAGTCATTACATACTCTGTTACACTGCCAATAACTAAACTAGGATAGTTGTAGGAGTGTTGTACTTTTGTGTAATGCTTTGGTAAGGTAATTGATGCTTTGTTAATGTGAATGGGTTCAATTTTGTGCTCAGTACAAAGCTCTAAAGAGACTAAAAAAAAGAGCATTTTCCTAGTGAAGGAATGATATAGTTGCAGGAGGCTAAAAAGATTCAGTTATAAGTCAGTTTTTTCCATTATCGCTTGTAGTTTAGGTATTACTGCTGGTAACATGGCATGCTGTCTGGGAATTTTTTGCCAATCAATACAATTATGCATTAACACTACGTGATTAAGATGAGGACTTTTTACAGACATGATTTGCGTAAATTGGAAATATTTTGCACTTTGTCCTGGTTATTGAGCAGATACTGGTTGAGGTCATGAAAAATCCATCAAATTTAAAAGTGCATTAGCACTATTACAAGTAATTTATTGTCCTGATGTTAAAAGGGCATACACTTTTGTTTAAGAAAAAATCATTGCATATATACAAAGATAAAATACCCCTCTTTAGAAAGATAATTTGATTTAAATCGAGGTTAATATTTATATTATAATTTATTGAGCATCAAATTAAAATTACCAGGTTATTTATTTAGTCTTTTGATTTGTACTTGTAGACCAGTTCAAGGAAGAATGAATGATCCTAGCTTCATCAACAAAATGAAATCTTCAGTAAGCATATAATATATCTGACACGTGGAATAGCCAATTAAATGTTTCCTTACTCATGTTTTTGTGAATCTTCAAGCTTAATTTTAACCACCATAGATATGTTTGTACAGTGTATTTCCATGTTAATTAAAAAAATCATTGTAAAATAATATTTAAAAAATATAAGCAGGTTAAACTTGTATGAGAGTTGGATGGTGGTTGTATGTAAACTAAATACTGTAAATCACTTTTTATTCGTGAGAACTTTATTTTTACGTAATTACGCGAGACTGTGTGCTCGCGGAAATTTCTTTCTCCTGTATATAAGTATTCCTAAAGATTATATAGAGCAATAATCACACTTCTTGAAAATTTTGCCTCACTTGTAAAGAGTCAATGACTATCTCACAGAAATAAGGTGTCACGAAAATTAAGTATTAAGTGATCTGCAGTGTTTTGCATCAATGTAGCTTAAATTAGAGAATTGATTAGATGTTATATAAGGTAGATGGTTGCAGAGGCTTGCTCTCTGAGTGCCCTTCAACCTATCAAATGTATGCCTTGTACATACCTTATTTACTCATATTTACAGGGTAGGAATGTTATTGTGTTTTATGGTTCACAAACTGGCACAGCAGAAGAGTTTGCAGGTCGCTTGGCAAAAGATGCCCAGGGATATGGCATGAAGGGCATGGTGGCAGATCCAGAGGAGTGTGAAATGGTAAACATAATTATAAGAACCATAACTCAGTATAGGGGTGCAACGATACACTAACCTCACGATATGATACGTATCACAGTATTCAGTTCACGATATGATACGTATCACGATACATGACAAGGTAAAGAAGTCTTTCAATTTTTTAAAACTTGACAGGGTTATATCAAATGTTTATATTTTTTGATAATTTAAATATCAATTTGTTAACTTTATTTGGATTGATATGTAGATCTTTGAGTTGCAACAATATTCTAAACCAATGAAGAATATAAACATGGAACTAAGGTAGCCTGGATTCAAAGTTCAGATATGACTTATTTATAGAAAGGGGCCTTTCCTCATAACCTTCCTTTTAAATTGGAAGTGTTATCACATTCTACTCCACAAGTTGGAAATACACGCGTAACTTTTAATCACAAAAGGAATGAGTTAAAGTCCTTAACCCTGTTATATCTGAGGTCTGTAAGATGCTTGAGATGAGTTGAATTGCCGTTGGTGCGATATCGTTGACCTCATGTTTTGCACACAAGCCATTTTGAAATTGTAAATGATGAAACAAAACGGACGATTTGGATAATTCTAGACCGATTGAACCGAACCGTGATATCAGTTTAGCGTATCGTGAATTGAACCAAGGAAAAATATACTGCAATATACCGTCAAACGGTTTATCGTTGCACTCTTAACTCAGTAATTTGTAAACAATTGAATTCCTTAAATTTTCACGTTATGAATTACAGACGTATAGGCATTTTTCAGTTTGTTACTCATAAACTTCATTTTGTAGGACAACCTTAGTAGTCTACCAGAGATAGAGAATTCCTTAGCTATATTTTGTATGGCTACCTATGGAGAGGGAGACCCCACAGATAATGCTCAGGAATTCTACAACTGGCTACAGAATGGGGAATCCGATCTAACAGGGGTCAAATTTGCTGTAGGTGTAGAATTGAACTTTTGTTCAGATAAGGCATAATTTAAGATTAACGTCTATTAGGTTAATGTTACAGGATCAATTATTTGTGCTAGGTTTGGGATTATATAAATAGTGCACTTACCCTTTGATTTCAGGTGTTTGGATTAGGAAATAAGACATATGAACATTACAATGCTATGGGGATATATGTAGACAAAAGATTAGAAGAGCTTGGAGCTGAGAGGATCTATGATTTAGGACTGGGAGATGATGATGCCAAGTATGTACATACTTATACCAATTTTCTGTAATTTTTAATATCATTTCTCTTACTGCTTCATAGGGCCCAGTATCTCTAATGCAGATATATTATAGTAATATTAAACAGTGTCAATTGGTCCATTGACATTTTTATGCCCCCATAAACCAAGATTTGGTGCATATAGTTTTTGGTCTGCCTGTTTGTCTGCAAAAACTTTAACCTTGCCCATTATTTTTGAATGGTTGGTGCTATGGTTTTCATATTTCACATGTGTATTCCTTGTGAGTGGTGACAAGACCAACATATTTGACCTCTTGACCTTGGAGTTTGACATACTTTTGCAAAATTTTACCAAACTTTAACCTTGGCCATAACTTTAGAATGGGGGGGGGGGGGGGGGGGGGGGGCTAGGGGTTTCATATGTCACATATGTATTCCTTTATGAAAAGACCTTCTTTCGGTACCAACATTTTTGACCTCAGGATCATGACTGCTGAGTTTGACCTACATTTGAAGAAAACTTTAACCTTGCCTGTAACTTTTGAGTGTTTGGACTAGGGCTTTCATATTTCACTTATGTATCCCTTATCTCTTTGGATACCAATGCAGGTAGGTTAAGGCTTCCTGTAGAATATCACAGTGCACTCTGTGCCTTCACATCTCTGAACTACCAAAATATGACGTCATAATGGAAAATGACGTCAAGTCACTGCAAACTTGAGGTGTTATGACGGGGAGAGTGTCATGAACTTTACACTTTATTTCAAACTGCATGTAAAATGCTACATAACTACTGCAAAATCCACGGGTCTTTAAATGTTTTTTAAGTCTTGTATGTCCGAATATTTTAAAAATACACCGCTTACCTACCCTTGATTGAAATTCAGCATTTTCAAAATGCTTATGAAAAATTTACTTTTGAAATGTACTCTGTTTTATACCCGTGGTTGAAGGTAGAATTTATTTTGTTATACATGTGTATTTTGTATAAAAGAATCTGGCGCAGGTGATTAATGAGGATTAATCTGAGAATTTTTGTGGAAATCTTTAACAAGAGGTTGTTCTCTAACTGAATCTTGCTTGGGAAAAAATGTGTGTTGGCTTTGTTTTAATTCAGATTACGATATTGTGTGGAAAATACCCTCAAATTTGTAGGTAAGTTGAATTTCTCAGGAAATATTTTGTACCCAAGTAATACTATGACTTTTCCCATGCACATTTCGGATACACAAGGATACGATGAGTTTATTTATATAACAAAATGTTAATAATTATTGTGTTAATCAGCTACGCTGAAGCGATTTATATGAAACACTTCAAAAATTTATAAATGACCATCACATGATCAACAAAGTCATGTGATATCATAACAAATATGTTAATATATAGCCGAGGAAACCCTTTATATAAATTGGAAGTACTAAAGTTCAATACTTATAAATTAAAACCAAAACCGACCTCGCAATGACATATTATGTTTAGAGCGCATTTTAAAGCTTCGGGAAGCCTTAACATAGCTGCGAACATTTTTGAACTCTTGACTTTGTCGTTTGACCTACATTTGAAAAACTTAAATCTAAGCCTTGACCTGCCATACAGGGGAATTAGTGTTTCACAAACACATCTTGTCATGTAAGGCAATAACTTGAGTTCTGGTGAAATAATTTACTTACTATTACTAAACAGGTGAAGGATGATTAAAAGAGGATGTAAAATTGCCTTTTAAATTTTGGTCTTACTTGACCAAAGGTCAGAGTTACTGATGTCTGTCAACACTTTTATGTGATACAGTAATTAGGTTTTGACATGAGCATGCTGCTGTGCAGGGTTCTGTTGGTTCATGAGTTTTCTAGAAATACTGTAATTCATATATATTTATATAATTTACTGACATTTTAAGAACACATAGTAGTTTTATATACATGTACACAATGAATCCTAGAATGATCCTCCTAGCTATGTCACTAAGCTACCATTACCTGATTTCATCTGTGTATTATAGTAAATACCTGTATGCCTTTTGATTTCAGTATTGAAGAAGATTTTATAACATGGAGGGAGAAGTTTTGGCCAGCTGTGTGTGAACACTTTGGTGTTCAGCCAACTGGGGATCAAGTCAGGTCAGTGAGGGTGGAGAATATCTTACTTGTAGGTTTCATTTGTTTACCAGGTATCGCCTAAGTTCAAAGACCTCACAGATTGTAATATGATGCCATTTCTTAGTCCATAGGCTCATTATAGAGTTATTGACTTTTGGGAATAAAAATATGATACTAGTAATTCCATATTTCATCATATACATGTAATAGTAATGATCTTCAAGTCATATTTTATATTTTGTATAAAAACCGTAACTTACATCTATATAATATTTTATTATTTCAGTATACGTCAGTATAGCCTTACTGTTCATGATGATCTTTCTATAGAGAAATGCTACAAGGGAGAAATTGCCAGATTAGGATCATTTGGAAATCAGAAACCGTAGGTTTTGATTTGATTATCACATATACTTTATATGAGTAACTAACCACTTTATTTAAGGTTTTCCATCCCTAATAGGACCTAATTTTCTATCCTTAAATATCCATCACATATATAATACTCTGATATTAATTCAAAGCATTTTACAGTAGAAAAGGATTTACCAAGAGAAAGTTTCAAAAATGTAATTAACTAAGCAGTAATTAATTAACAGAAATTGCATTGAAGTCTATGGAGACAAGCGAATTTTTAAAATAAGAATTAAAATAATAAGAATATCAATACATACTGTGGTGGAAAGATGCATTAAATCATTAGAAATAGAATGACAATTAAAAACATTCTTTTTACCATATAGATTTTTTAAAATTGATTTTTATTACTTAAAAAAAGAAGGAGATAACTCTTCAACAAAGGTCAAGGTCATGAATTAGGACACGTTCCATTCTTACATGCTAATAGTAATAAATGGGAATTATGTCTAAATACACTGAGTATTCCACCCGTGCACATCTGTTATGTATTCAAATTAATTGAATCTGAGGTTACTAGGGATGGAATACCTTAATGTAAATTTAATATAAATGTATGTTTTATTGATATAATATTTTTTTCTAGACCATATGATGCTAAGAACCCATTTTTGGCTCCTGTGAATGTGAACAGAGAACTTCACAAAGGAGGAGACAGATCCTGTATGCATATTGAGTTTGACATCACAGGGTCAAAGATCAGGTAACAATGACCATGATCATGTTTTTTTTTAATGAATTGATGCATGTTTGAACCAAAATTACTGCAGTGTTCTACATGAGTGAGTCATCAGTATACGATAATATTTAAACTTCTTGCCCACAGATTTCCCATTTTAGAATTAGTATTGTAGGAAATGAGATTTGCCTATAATTATAAGCTACTTGTCACAGCAGGCTGTCTGATATAATCTAAACAGTTTATGGAATCTAAAGCATATTTCAAATTTAAACCAGATCTGCAGTCAGTTCTGATGAAGATCAAACCTTCAATAGCTCCTTTTTATTTTGATTTTCATGCGACAATCAAAATAAAAGGGAGCTAGTAAAAGTATGATTGTAATCAGACTGATCTGCAGTATATCTGACTCGGTTACTAAGACTTAACTTCTATATTGTTGTAGATATGAGGCTGGAGATCATGTCGCTGTGTATCCTGTCAATGATCCAGAGCTAGTGGAACTTATAGGAAAGACCTTAAATGTGGATCTAGATCAAATGTTCACCCTCACAAATGTTGATGGTAGTTTGTTTTGTTTAGTTTTATATTAACAAAGCAAAAGTTAATCACCAGGTACCCTTAAGTTGGTAATTACACATTAATGTGATCAGCTGTGGCCAATCATAGTTGATTCCACCTGAGGCATACAGGAAATGTAAACATTTGTGTGCACATTATGAAACAGACTGTTTGCTTTGATGTGGTTGCCTTTTGTAAATTTATAATGTTATGTATTAAAAAAACCTTTTTTCATTGCATTTACTTTGAGATGCAAACATTTATAAGTTATTTGGGCATATAAAAGTTTATTTTCTTTATATAAACAACAATTTCATTAATGAAATGCACCATTTCTTTCAGGGGATGGTTATTTTGTTCTTTAATATTTCAAGTAAAACTAAATTGTACCTGGTGTTTTAGGGGAAGTTGATTCATTCATTGATTTTATGTTCATTCTGTACAATTTTAATTGAAAAAAAGTAATCATTTCTGAGTTGTATGCTTAGTGATCATTTCCTTTTATTTTATCCCGTACTGTGAGTAAAGTTATTTTGATCAGAACAAAGAGTAAAAAATATGCAATCAGTTGTAACGAATCGTAGAATTTTAATGTTATTCATAAGCTTAGCATTTTAGAGTGTTATTCATAAGTCTGGTATATTAGACTTACTTGTATTCCCTTAAAAATAATTTTATTACAGAGGAGGCCAGTAAGAAATTCCCTTTCCCGTGCCCCACCACATACCGCACTGCCCTCTCCCACTACCTTGATATCACAGGAACACCAAGGACACACATTCTACGAGAACTGGCAGAATATGCACAAGACCAGAAAGATAAAGATTTCCTGTTGAAACTGACGTCTTCTACTCCAGAGGGCAAGGTACACACTTAAAAGCTAAAATCATGAGTAAATCTTACTCTAGAATGTATTTAAAACAAACTGGATACCAAATAGAAGGCAAACATACATTTATTTTTGATGTAAGTAAACTTGAACGACATGTTTATTGCGTGGACAATATAGGTTACAGTGACTGGTTGTGCCTCTGTTTGAATATGTACCTCTGGCATGCCAGTCCTGTGCTTTCAGGGCTCTAAGTGACGACTAATTTAGTCGCCATGGTGCCTAAAATTTTTTATTGGCGCCTAAAATTGTTCATTAAGTCACCAAATTGGCGACCATTTTAAATTGACTTGGTAATCGTCGAATTCCGGAAATTTTCACATTTTTAACAATTTTTCTAAAAAAGCGAAAAGAAATTTAAAACTAGAGGAAATTATTTTTAGCAACGGACATGTCATATTTTCTTAGGCAAGACATGGGTCCCTATATTCTGTTTACCTTTAAAATTAGTGCCTCAGAAAAATTGCCTGGCGACTAAAAATTTGCACTGGTGACTAATTTTGTTTGATAAGGCGCCAGCTGGTGTCTAAATTTTAGAGGCCTGGCTTTATCAATAGAACTAAAGGATGAACCCATGAGCCCATGGTAGTAGGAAGCTGTGCATCACACACTTCCACATTGTCCCATCCACATACATGTGATATGTACCGGCGGTACGGAAAATGTACAGTTTTTCCAAGCCCATTCATCGTGTACAGACGGGACACCAAAATACATGGAATATAAAAATTTGTACAGTATTTTAAATTTCTCGCTAAATGCTGCCATTTTCCTCTCATGATCTCTCGCGAGACACTGGAAAACGTTACCTGTGTTTGACACTTGACCTTCTGATAATTGTGTAGTGTACACAAACCATCGCGTGTGAAGGTGTGAACTGCCAACTGGGATAATTATCTTGCTATAAATCCGTATCAAGATACCCCTTTAGGTAGCTTTATTTTTGAAGGGGTACTTAATTATAACTGTTAATGTTTCGTAACTTGGTTGAAAAAAATTAAGCCAACTTCTAAAGTTGATATACACGACTTAATATACATGAATCTGACCCAGATCTCTGTAGGTAGAAAATATACGATGTTTATTACCATGATTACGCTGAAATAAAGGATATGGTTTTAAGTTTTTATCGCTGAAATTTATGTATGATTGTATTTGCTGCTGTTATTTAGCATTGCTGAGACAATGACTCTCACGTTAATGCTGGCAAACAAACTGTCATCTAAACTAGCTTAATTCATAGTCGGTTCATAAGAACATTGTGATTATAAAACACAATATATGAAATTTTAAAGCAGTCAACTCTCCATTACAACTTTTAAAATAAGACATTTGCAACAATATATATTTGTTGGTTTAGAAATAAGGTGCCTTATCAGAAGAATTGAGGCAATAATTTATACCGTTTTTTGTATCGTTTTTTGATAGGTAGTGTACAGTTTTTTCATCCAAATTCCAGTTTTTTTATGGTTCCTGTACAGTTTTGTGGTCTTTGACTTATCACATGTATGCATCCAGGGAAAGAGGTGTCCTTATCTTTATGAAGTGTTCTGTAGTGCTCTATGTTGGATGATGTGATAGTCACTGAAGTGTGTAATGGATGGCTTCCAACTAGCTTGAGCTAGTTCTGAAAAGGAATATTTTAATCTTAGATTACATTGTAAATAATTGAGAAATCAAATTTATGGATTATTTTGTTATTACAGACATTGTACAGTGATTGGGTTGTAAAGGACAGGAGAAACATCACTGCCATATTGGAGGACCTCCCCTCAGTCAAACCTCCCATAGACCATATCTGTGAACTGTTACCTAGGTTACAGGCTAGATACTATTCCATTTCTTCATCTCCAAAGGTTTGTATGGCAATCACAAAATTTTGCATCATTTCAATGGTCAAAGAATACTTTTTCTCTTCAATATTTTATATGAATTTTTTTTTTAATTTTTTTTTTCATTGCAAAACATATACACCTTTCATTCCCATTACACAAGTTTGTGTGTAGCGTTTTGATAAATTAAAGTTAATTGCAAACTAAGTACCCATTCAGTTTTTTGTTATCATTCTTTATTTGTAAAAAAAAATCTTCAATTCTTTGTCATTGCTATAGGTCAATTCTACCAGTATTCATATAACAGCCGTTGTAGTCAAATATAAAACCAAGACAAATCGGACTATGAAAGGAGTTGCTACAAACTGGCTGACCCTAAAGAGGCCGACCAATGGCATTAAACCTACTGTTCCCATCTACGTCAGAAAATCTCAGTTCCGTCTGCCTTTCAAGGCCAACACTCCTGTCATAATGATTGGACCTGGCACAGGGTTAGCTCCCTTTAGGGGTTTTATTCAAGAGAGGAACTTCCTAAGGAAAGAGGGTAACTCTAAATTATTGCATTCAGTTATTTTCTTGTACTGTAACATTACTTTTGATTTTATGACTTGTCATTAATGGTATTTTTTTTTTTGGGGGGGGGGGGGTGTTATATTGCTAATTTTATTACATGGTGATATTTTATAGTTGTTTTAGGTACACATAACCTCAAGTATGTCTAAATTGTTTAGGAAATTCACAGCTAAAAGCCCTTGAAACCTACACCAGTAGTAATTTAGTAAAACATTACACTCATTTAGGAAAAAAGGAAATTTGTTGTGTTGACTTTGAAGAAATTCTAGCTTATTACTTACAAAAGGCATCTGTGAAGAAAATTTGTGAGGATAGATGTTAATGGTTTTTCTTGCAGGTAAGCCTGTGGGAGACACAGTGTTGTACTTTGGTTGTCGTCACAAGACAGAGGATTATTTATATGAGGAGGAGCTGGAAGAATACACAAACGATGGCACCCTAACCAAAGTGCATCTCGCCTTCTCCCGGGATGGGCCAGAGAAGGTGTATGTACAACATCTCCTCAGGCAGAATATGGAGGAAACTTGGAAGATGTTAGAGAAGGGTGGTCATATATATGTGTGTGGGTAAGCAACATTTGATTACATGAATTACTTTGAAACCTTCAGATTCAAGTGATTTATCAACCAAATATTAAATATTATTTTAAAAACGGCATATTTGGTTGGATTACTAAGCGAATTACAGACTTGCAACTTCTTGTCAATAATTTTGTATTGTTCCTAAATATATATACATTTGGAGAGAGTAATTCCCGTATTAGATTTAATGTAGCATGCATGTATTTTAAAAGGAACTTAATTTATCTTCAAAGTGTGTGTGATATTTAGAAATGAAGTATTCATATTATGATATTTTACATTCATATTCTTTAGCATGTCATAAATGTCAAAATGCATATTGTGCATAAAAATTTCAGTGATGCTCGCAACATGGCAAGAGATGTACATGAAACATTAGAGAAAATTATCATGGAATGTGGCAACATGGAGAAAGAAAAGGCAACCAATTATGTAAAACAGATGCAGAACAAGGGACGCTACTCTTGTGATGTGTGGAGCTGAAGATGGTCATCCATTATTCAACAGATCTGTTTGGAGTGGCTGACAAAGTATGAAGGACATCAGTGATAAAGGACATATTTTATACCAGAGAAGATTGATTGTGTTTTTAAAGATAAAAGGTTTTATTTTGAAATCTTTAGTATGAAGTAGTTGACATAGTGTGTGTATTTTTTGAGTATTTGATAGAATAATGTTTACACTGTTCATATAAATAATGCAATTTTTGAAGAATTATTTAAATTGTTGAAATTCATATATTTATGTATACTTCAATAATCAGTTTCTTTTATGATTTTTACACTGAATACCCAATGATCTGACATATTGTCAGGTGATTGATGGATTCTCCAAGCAGAAAAGGGCTTTCATCTTCATCATAAGGAAATACACTACAATCATAATAATGGATAATTTTTACTGCTGTTAAGTGTATATGCAATTTTGGCCTCACTCAGATTAGGATCCAGTTTAAAAGTTTAGTTTAGCAAGAATTTTCCAGTTAAACAGTAAATCCTTCAGAACACATTTTATTTTTGAGTCACTCCCTAGTGAGTAAGGACTAAATCCATTTTCTTCCATTTGGAAAAAAAAATATTTAGAATTGTGTGAAAATTTGTGCTGTCTTTTTGTGATCTCTGCCAAATTTTCTTTTGTGTTAGAAAGCTTTGAGCACTCAGTGTACATGTATGTATTAAAATGACCAAAAGGGGCTAAAAACCTGCATTATGACCCAATGTCTTTTATACCCAATAATGTTTGTTCACTTTAGATTCATAATAATCAAATACACTCAATGCTTTGATTCACTTTTCCACATGTACAGTATCTATATGAAAATTGTTTGTTTGTTGTTTTTTTTTGGAAAAGAATTCAGAACTTTAAAACATAAATATATCTATCATGGTGCTGAGATATTTTGTGAGAACAAAATTTTACTCTGGGCATACTTAATGTTTGTAAGGCTATGAATTACCTCATTAGGATATGAAATTAAATGAATGCAAATAGAAGACTTTCATAAGTGATAATACATGTATTGGATAATATATTCTTCATATATATGATTGTAGATACATCAATTGATTGAAAGTACTATATCATTGATCAAGAAGTGATTATTTTTACTATTTTTTGTAAATATGTGTATTGTTAATTTTATGTCCATGTACAGTTGTTGATAGATTTCCATTTCATGTCCAAGCATTACAATTAATTAATCTAGTAAATGATGTTATTTTGATGTCTGGCTTTTTGTGTTAATTGGAAGTTTAAAGGGAATAACAAGTCTTGAATTATTTGTAATTGTAATTAAAAAAAAAATCATTATCTAGATACCGGCACATTGTATTGAGCACAATAGTTTTTTATGAAATGGCTTCTGAAAGCTGTTTTGAGAGATGAGGTTGTTGCTGTACTAGCTTTATACCATCCTCAGATTTTATGATTACTACAAGTATAAATAGTTTATCATGTCAGAACCTGGTTATGCTTATGGAATGAAATTTCTAAGGTAGGCCTGAGAAGAGTGAAGGAGATATAGTTATTCTAGTGTTCAGCATTGAAGAAAAAAAGGAAAAATATATCTTTTGACAAAAAAGGGGATTATAACTTTAGCTTTACATTGCCAAAGCAGTGTATTCCCCTTGGACATAGTTCAATATTTTTAGGAACAAACGTATGCTTGATATAGGAATGTATTCTTTTCTCTGATTATAAGACAAAATTTACTCTTCACTTATTTTTGAGTATGATTTTTTTTCCATTTATAAATGGATTGAGAGGATACACTTGAACTTTAAACTGCCCTCACCATGTCATGCAGCTGTTCTCAACGGCCATGATAAGGATTTTCCTATACCGCTCCAATTTCACAGTTGTATCGATTTTAAGTCTGGTTATCTGAAGGGGACTTTTTAAAGATGCATTTTTTCATTCATAAATATATATTTCAGGAATATGTATTAGTGTTTTTATATAGAAATTAAAATTTTAACCTGTGGTTCCTTTTATGCCTATTGTACAATTTACAAAAATTGATGCTATTTTATCACCTTATTGACAAAGATCACTTAAGGGTCTTTTGATGAAATCTGTGTCCTGAACTCTGTTTGGTCTTAATGGACAAGAGTTTTACATATATGTCTGTAAAATACTTTTAAAGGTGATTTTAGTCGAGAGCTCAAACGCATGATTACTATGTATAATAAAATACTTATGGTACACATTGGATGTTAAATGGTTTTATTTGTGTCCACTTACGGAAGCTCTAAAACACTGATGGGTTTTTTTTTTGGACTTTGATAACATTTTGTCATATAAAGGTGTATATATTGAGTATAACTAGTTCATTTTCATTTGGGTACCTGCCATATTTTCCCAAGAAATTTATTTTTAAAAAAAAATGAAGTATTATCAACAGAAATCACTGTTGTTCTCCTATCTTGGGAAAAGAAATGGAAATAGTGTATTCAATTAGGGTGAATTCACCATGCACTTCAACAAGTTCTAGCGATATATCTACCGACCGAATATTATCAAAATTTACCTTGGGAAAAGACATGGAAAATAGTGTACTAGTATTCAATTACTTAATCTTGTTCTAATATGATTTTAAGAATACTCAAATCCATTAAAAATTGTGTCATTAAATGTAGATTCACATTTACTCTTACATCTAAGGGTTGTTCACTCTAACTGCATAAAACTACCCTACAATTAGAACTCTTTGGCGTGCAGTGTTTTGAACTTCCTTAAGGTCATACTAAACTACTTGACAGGATATCTTGCCAATTGATAATTTTTCAAGGTATTCTTCATTTCAAATGATTGAACCATCAGATGTTCTTTAACATAAAAAAAAAACAAAAACAAAAAAAACCCCAAAACCAAACCAAAAAAAAAAAAAAAAAAAAAAATCAAAAAAAAAATCGTACATTACCAATATTTTTGAATAGATATCAAAATGATTAAAGTCACTTTGTTATTCAAAATAAATATATAAATAAAATAATAAAATAAATTCAATTCAATTTATTGACATCACTATGTTGGTATACAGTCAAAAAAGAAATCAAATGACAGACAACAGAAAAAAATATATATAACATAATGGCTATAGCATGCAAGACATTTTACACAATTCTTGATAGTCCCTGAATTTGCTTTCTTTGCACAAAGCATTTATCTAGATAATTACATAAACGTTTTGTAGTATTATAATCACAAGGGTTAACAATTTCTTAAATGGGATCAGTACCACAGTATAATTTATCATCAAAATATAATATTGAAAGATTGTCATACACAGGACAGTAAAGTACAAAATGTTGTTCATTTTCAACCAATAATTTACAACCATAGCATAGACTTTTTTCCATAGGCATTATTGGTATACAATATCTTCCTGTTTCATCGAATAGTGAATGTGCACTTTTGTTAGCTGTTATCTTTCATGCTCTTTTTTTTTGGGGGGGGGGGTGAATTTAATAAAATAAACTACCATTAATACTATGCAAAAAGAACTTTTTAATACAACTGTACAAATTACAAGATCTGCAGTAATTGTCAGTATTAAAGTTACCAGTATTTCGTAGACTCTATTTGATCCTGATAATCTCCAAAACTACCATGCAGTGTAATGGATATACCAAGGAAAATCGACTTCATGACTCATCTAATCTATGAATTTATACCCTCGGGTATAGCTACTGGGGTTTGAATGCAAGGTATATATAATCATTGAGATGCTTCTAGAACTTTGCGGAAGCTCATGTATCAAATTAGTTAACCAGGCAGTAAGACTGCATAACATCTTTCAAACGACAAAATCACCTTAAATATTGTTAAAGTTATTATTAATGTTCATCTGTTAACTTCCTTATTTGTTGGAAGGGTCTAGTGACGAACGAGCGCTATTTAAAACCGTGTCATTTTACTTTAATGAAGTACAGTTGTACAGTCTACAGATCTGTTTAAAAAAAAACAAAAACAAAAAACACTTGCAATTTCATTATTGTCATCAATAATAATATAGTGGACGAATATGCTATACCAAAACTGAAAAATGTTACTCCTCGGACCAATACAAAATACAGGAAACGTTTTCCCCATTTTTCTAGGATCAACTTTGATGGGGATTTTATTTACTCCTATTCTGTCACAGAAGGAGGCGGTAGTGGGGATACTTTGCATGTCGACGAAGATTGTTGGAATTGTGATTATGCTGTATACAGCACTCATGATATTACGTAGGAAGCAAGAATGGATAACACACAAAATTGCCATGTCTGGTGTGACCAAAACCAAAATAGGGGTTCTTTGGATACTGGCGATATTCAAATGTGTTTTTATGTCTATTTATAATGAGATTCAATGGAGATGTGCAAAGGATGGGGAATATCATATCGTGAGAAACATAGGGAAATATGTCTCAATTCTGTTCACGATCTTGCAATCATCCATAGTTTGGTATTGTAATAGGAATTCTTTTGTGAACAGTGTTAGAGTAAGAAGTATTATAACTTTGATGGCCGTAACAAATTTAATTGTTTGGTTAACAGGGTTAGTATTTTGTGTTTTCGAAAAAGCAAGCTCTGACACATTTAATTTCATGAACAAGATTTATAACTGTACTTATATAAAAGAAAATAATTTAGAAACATTAATTCGATACACAGAAATTTTCAGACTACCCTTTGTCATGGAATTTAGTGTGCTATCTACGGTACTCGTCATTAGTACACCAATAACAAGTGAAAGGAGAACTTTCCATGTGTCTTATTCATCAGATTTTAATCGACGTCATGAAGAAAGAGAATTTCAGAGAATTCCCTCATTGGAGGGAGGTACTTCCTTTACAAGACAACAAAAAATGTCTTTAGGAATAGCGGTTATTTTTTTGAATGGTCCGTTTTACATTTTTGCAGGTATATTTATATTAAATGTTTCCTTTTTCAAAAGCATATTTCATATATGGGTGTATTGTCTCATAGGGACAAAATTTGTATCATTTATTCTTATTCTCGCCATTTTCTATGTATTGCAAAATGAAGTTGTAATTCTGGCCTCAAGATATCGACTAGATTTGAATGATGTTGCTCTAATCGCAAGTTGCTCTGCCATCATCGCAACAGGAATTGTTAGCTTTCTCATTCCACGAGAAAAGACATTCTCAGTTGCATTTCATGGTGTTTTTAATATTTTTCATATAATTTATCAAACAATACTAATTTTATTTCTAAAATCCATTAAAATTTGGAGAAGGAATCTAAAATGGCTGACTGGTTTGAAAGTAGCCATTGCTATTCTCATAAGTTTTAACATTACTCATTGGTTGAAAGACTTTCTATTTTTTCTTGGGTATATAGAGATCGCTACATCAGACCAGTTTTTTAAAACGGTATTTTACATCTTGTATCCATTCCAATCATTTTACAGGTTTCAATGTGCCATGGGACTGATAGATTTTTACTTGAAATTATGACCGTTTTTAAACTCTGTTCACCCATGTATTACACGACTCAGGAAATATTTCAATTATGAAAATTATAATGATAGGTCAAAAGCAGGTTTTTCCTGCTTGAATGTACTTCTCATTACTTAGTGTGATGTGTTACAAGTCATTTAGAATACTCTCTTTCTATTGCGTGCTACAGGGGCACCAAGGGCGGATCCAGGAGTTTTTCCGGGGGGATCCTGATCTCTCACCAGAGGGCGTATTACGCTACGGAGCGTAGCGGGAACGAGAGCTCTGGGTATAGATTGGGGATCCACACCTACCTATTTTCTGTTTTCTCTTATTTTTTGACAAGCAAAAAAAAAAAAAAAGAAGAGGGAGAGAGAGAGAGAGAGAGAGAGAGGATCAACACTTCACATATGAATAGGCCATTGCACTATATTTCATGTTTATGAACCATCTTAGAAACTTATTTACGGGGGTGGGGGTGGGGGGTGGGGGGGTTACAAGGTCATTTTAGGATTAGTTTAATTTTATAACTGTAATATCCCTGACCCCCCCCTTCCCGGTCTGGATCAATCCAAATCGCTTTAACCATGAGCTATCGCCCTTCGTGTTTTGAATTGAAATCAATGAAATCATATAAAATTATTCAGAGAGTAATATTAACGATTCGAGAACATCTGGAATGCAAAATTATATATATATATATATATATATATATATATATATATATATATATATATATATATATATATATATATATATATATATATATATATATATATATATAATTATTTTTATAATAAATGATAAATAAATATCAAAACAAGTCTTACATATTTAAGATATAAAATTTGTTTGTTTTTTTTAAAAACTGTTTAATCAATCTAGTTTGGGTTAAAAATGTATGAAAAATATGGGAAAATTGTCACATAAATGATTCTGTATTCATTAAAAAGGTTAAGTTATCGACAGTAAAGTATATAGAGATAGGTATTCAAACTGAAGACTTGGAAGGGGGTGGGGTGTCACAGCTGGTTAACGCTAGATGGTACAATGTACAGCTACAGGTAGGCGAACACGAGTTATCTTTCATACCATAACCAACAGTCTGCGATCTCGTGCAGTTTGATAACTTTGAAGAGCCCGATCTAAATTAAATCTGAATATAGGTATCTGCGCTCACCCTTATGGTCGCACCGTCAACATATTAAAAATATACAAGACATTGTACGTTCGAAAATGACAAAATAATTCCCCTACTCTCGCACTGAAAGTCTTCAAACTTCTATACATTTATAATATATATATACACACTTTTGAATAAATTCACTAAATTCTAAAGAAAATAAGGAGCTGTGTAAGAGTGTGGGGTGCTAACTTTATTGAAAAATGAGAGGGGTAGATGTTGATTATACTAGGCCTACGTTTTCTAGTGGGGTTTCTAACATAAACCATAAAAATACACCCCACCCTCCGGCCGCCAGTCCTCTTCTTTTTTCTTATACAATGCACATAACACAGCTAATTGATGTAGCATCAATGTTTCGGTGTATTTTTCTTTGTGACCTCTTCGTTTCTACTTCCGTTTCATTTTCAGTTCTTGCTAATCATGCCAAACGTTATTTCTCCCGCCGCTAAACTAACTTCGGGATCGATGTACTCAGCTACGTAATATAAAACTGAAACCATACCGGAATTAATTTTCCCGAACTGCTTGACTGGTTAAGTAATAGACTCTACCGTCTGCGATGTTGTCCCTTGTC